AGTCAAAGCCTGTGGAATGTTAACTAAGTACAGGAGAATGTGTCACCACAGACAGACAGCTTCTGAGCAGGAACATCACATCAAGATGAGTATAGATGAAACCATGTCCCTATCTGGAAGAGCATGTTTGAAGTAGAGGGGCTCATACGGGTCAATATTCTGCAACAGGAGAGATCATAAGGGGTCCTTGTTGGGTACCAACAGCGATCCCAGGATGGCTGGAGAGGAGGGAGGGAGTGAAGGTTCAATCTGAAGTGCATATCTGGGGGCCAGATTGGTTCAGACCTTGTGTAAGAAAATGTGGACCTTGAATGAAATGGAAAGTCGTTGGGAGTTTCTGAGCAACATGTGCTGACCTACATTTTAACTGGCCCACTCCGGATGCTGTGTAGGGAATCGTTTCAGAGGTGCTGAAGCATCTTGTCACTGTAATCTAAGCAAGAGTTGGTAATGGCTTGGATCATGAGATGAAGAGAAGAAAATGGTGAGAAATTATCGGATGCTGGATGACTTCGGTATGGGCTTGACAGGATTTGTTGTTGGTTATGTGATGTGAAAAGTGGAGTGGAGTCAAAGATGATGGCAAATTTTCCAGTCTGAACAGTGAGACAAATCAAGTTATCATTTCGTGAGTCAAGGGATGCCATGGGAGGGTCCGGGTTGGGTGAGGGGGATAAAGAGCAGAGTTCTGGATGCTAGTTCAAGGTGAATACTGCATACCACACTGACATGGAGAATGAGTTCTAGTTTTGAGATCCCCTGACTATTTTGGTGTTCCATGCTGGGCAGTGAGTGGGACATGGGTATTCCTCTTGTTCTCTGCCATCCACAGTTTACTCAATGGATAGAATGATGTCAATAGTTATAATCTCACACAGGAAATGGATTTATCCTGGCAGGTGCCCTTGTGTCTCTTGTCTGATCTGTGTCTGGTTCTTGCCCGGAGCTCAATCTTGTGCTCTCCTCACAATCTTAAGAAAAACATCACCTGGGGATGTCCCTGGTTCTTCATATAAAATGTACCAATTCTATGCATCACCACAACAGGAAATAAGTTTAAAGAATTATTGCATACAAATTCTGATCAGGGAAGATGTAATTTTCTCAGGAGGGTAGTCCTCCTCCATTTTCCTGACACAAAAGGCAAGAAGAATCATGGAAAGAGAGAGACATTTGAGTATGGGAGTAGCAATGTGCATTTGGGAATAGGGTTCAGTCACTTTAAATTCATCTTAAAATACTTGAATCATTTGAAGGGATGGGCAGGAAGACAGGGAGCTCAGTCTGCTGGGAGGAAGATTCCTGCAAGTTCTTATCTCTGCTCACTGGCCTGAGCCTCTTGGGTGTTGTATTTTATGTCTAATGCCCAGGCAGTCACTTTTGTCAGGTTATCCCTGATAATCTGGATATCTGTCAGATATATGAATCAACCACACTGAGGAACTGGAAGGAGGCTTAGAGCTACAAACTGTGTCAAAGTGACTGAACCCTGCTTCTCATATAAAAAGATAAACTTACATTCAAAATGGAAGCCCAAGCAACATAAAATTGTAAGAACACATTTATAGGTCCATAATTCAAAGATGAATTCTTAGATGGAGATTGAAATTATGACTCAGTCACATCTAGATGGTATTTAAGCCTGAGTCTCTTTAGGGTAGGGAAAGGATTTGGCTTTCTATCCTTATCCTTTAGTCAAGAGCCTGATACAATACATTTCCCAGATTTTCCATTGGTCTTTGGAGGCTGCTTCTTGGAAATGGCATTGTCATTTTTAAAAAAAGAAACAAAAAACAAAAAATGATGTTATTGATTATTTTCATTTTATGTGTATGAGTATTTTGCCTGCATGTGTGTAAGTGCACCTGTTCATGTAGTACCCATAGACATCAGAAGAGAGCGTTGCATTCCCCTGGAACTGGATTTACAGACAATTGTTAGCAGCCATGTGGGTGCTAGAAATTGAACCCGGGTCCTCTGCAAGAGCGGCCTCTGCTTTTAACGGCTAAGCCATCTCTCTAGTCCCTCAATGAACTTCTTATTCACTGTCTCTTCAGACAGTTGTAATTTCTCTTAATCAAAATTGTAGACTGTGTTCACAAAGTCTCACCACAAGCTGAGGAGCTATTGGCAACTGGTTGCTACTCAGGAAGAGTCTGTTTTCCTCAGATGCGACCCCCTAATAGGCTATTCATTTTCCATTATACCCAAGCACATACTAGCAGCAGTGAGTGAACTCAGTGGATTTAGTAAAGAGCAAATGAAGTTGGGATGGAAAAGTGTGAGGTGGGAACACTGGAAGTTAAGAGGAAGGAGTTCAGTATGGATGGTTTGATCAAAACACATTATAGTCACTCCTCCTTGGGCTTTGGTCCCATCCAGCTGAGAGCACCTGACTAACTGGTGTGAGTTAACCTGATACTGCTGTGCCCATTCCCCTGCTTTGGGACCATCTCTAGTCCTCTCTACTGCTTCAGAGTTCAGTCCTTTGCTAGTTGGTAAGAACCAGTCCATCTTGTTCCCATGGACTCTCCTTGGGCATTGGCCCTGTCCTGCTGGGGCTGCTGGAGAGTGCCTGACTAGCTGGAAGAGATAGCCTACATTCCCCTGCTTTGAGGCCAGCTCTAGTCGCTTGGCTCCAGGACTCAAACCTTTTTTAAATAAAATTATTACATTTTTGTGCATTTCATATAATAGATCTTACTCAAATTTAGACCCCATCTTCCATCCACACCCCACAATAGCCCCCAAACACATACCGATTGGGGCCTGTTGTCCATGTCCCTCTCTCAGTGCTAGGTTTTTGTTTTATTGAGTCAGCATGGGTCTTTTGCAGGCTGTCACCATTTTTGCAAGTTCCTATGAGTAAGTTCCCAGAGGCCTAAAAGCCTGTTTCCTTATGTTCATGAACCAGCCCTGGCTCTTACTATCTTTCTGCTCTCTCTCAACCACCCACAGCTCAAACCTTCTTGATTAGTTAGCCAACAGACCCAGGTGATACCCATCACCTCAAAGAGCTTAGGCTCCTTTGTTCTCCTGGAGAACTCCTGAGTAGCCTGCCTGGATCCAAACAGACCCTCCAATTAAAAAGTTAAAGAAAATGAGAACCTGGATCAACAAACAGCCAAGCTATGTCAACAACATAAACAGAATCAAACTTCAAGTCAACAAAGACAGGCTTGAGTTTCATGTCAGACATACAAGCAACCAAAGAAATCTACATGCCATACCACAAGGAAAAAATACAAATAACATGAAAAACCAAGATAATCTGTCCCTACAAAACCCCACCAGTCCTATAGAACTGTTCTACAATAAGAACTACCCAGAGGAAGCCCAGGACACAGAATTTAAAAGAACAATCATAAACACGATCCAACAATTCAACAAATTTAAAAAACAGACACCAATGGAAAGAACTCAAAGATAGAAATAAACTCACAAAAATTCGAGAGAATACAAATATAAGCATGAGTGAGACAACAAAGACGATTTAGGATTTGAAAAGTGAATTCACAAAAGAGATGGAAATATTTAAGAAAACTCAGACAGAAATGAAGATGGAATTGAAAATCTTAATAAGTGAATTTGAAGTGACAGGAAAAAGCTTTGCCAACAGAATGAATGAAATGGAAAACAGAATATCAAAACTGGATAATAAAATTGAAGAATTGGACCACTCAAACAAAGGTACAATTTTTTTTACTACAAGAACAGAATATGCATGAAATGTGGGACACCATGAAAAGACCAAATTCACACATCATAGGCAAAGACTGAGGAGGACACAAAAAGATGGAAAGACCTCCTGTGCTAATGAATTGGTAGAATCAATATAGTGAAAATGACCATCCTAACAAAAACAAGTTAAAGATTCAATGCAATCCTAGTCAAAAACCCCATGACGTTTTTCACTCAAAAAGAAAAATTCATCCTAAAATTTACATGGAAATACAAAAGACCCAAGATATTCAAAGCAATCCTGATCACAAAGACCAATGCTAGGAAGAT